CATATCACCATTTAATTCATTTTGCCAGCTGTTACAATATTTTAAGCTACGGATTGGCCATTGCCATTTTGGTAATCAACTACCTTAATATTCTTCCAATGTTCTTTCTGTAACCCAATCTTTGTTTCAGTAATAGCATTACTGGTTCTTTATCTATGAAAATTCTCTTCCATTTCTTATCTATTTGCTAATTAGGGTCAATCAATATTATCACAGTTAACTGTCAGTGTGTTTTTATTTTTTTTAACCAACCTACTTTTAGTCATCTATTTAGTAGTTCTTATTTCACCAATATCTCAGCTCCTTTGAGCAGGTGTCTTGTAACAATGTTACGCTCCAAACCAGGACTTAATTTTACCATGTCAACTGGGTATGTTAGCTGTTGAACTGCTTTTCCGTACCAATCCAGGTTTTTAATAAGCTCATTAAAATCATTTAGAGTTTAGGAAAATGCCTACATCTAAAACGTACATTATCACATTTATCATAATCAAACAGCTTTTTCGCTGTAGTCCTACACAGGCCTATTGTAGCATTTACTATAGTGCATCAAAACTGATTTCATCTTAAGACTTCACTCATGACACATTTTCCCCTGTGGTCCCAGCAGCCTTCAACCAAAAATATTATCTTTTTTTTCCTTTTCCCGCTTTAGGAGACACACTTTCTGTCATTTCTTACTTATGGGAGCCGGATACAGTCAAGCTTCCATTTTGATTTAGATAACCAGCCTTTAATGTTAATGTGTATCCAGCCATACCACAAAGATATATTTGACACTGCTCTGGCAGACTCAGTTATAGGTTTTAATAGTTTCACATTAAGTCATCATATTGAAACCTATCGTCAAAGTCGTCATATATGGATTTCATCCTGCACCCTGCTCTTATTTTAAATAGTTTATAGTCGGCAACCATATGGAACATGATGTGGACATCGATTAGTCAAACTCTAGGTTAGAGTTTTATCACTATCGTTTCTTTTCTTTAAATTATGAGGAAGAATAATTAAAGACACCAGAAAGTTACAGGTACTGCTAATTATTACTATTTCAGTTTTCAAACCCTTCCTGAAACCATTCAATGTAAATAAGTAGATAACGTTTATTCAGCAAGAAATGTTTTGTCTTAAGCGTGCAACCTCAGCCATTCTCCAGCTACTTTGTACTCGCCGTCTCTTTAGGGACACAACATTATTATTAGACTATATTTCAAGGTGTCTAACAGCTTAGTATGCAGACACAGATGTCATTTAAGCTGTTTGTCATTCAAAGCCCTTTCAACAGTCAGCCCTCTACCTAAAAACCGCATCCACGACCCACTTAACAGGCCCCAAATTTTCCTCAACCATACATCACTCATATACACACAAAAAAGGGTAGAAAGAAAGAGTTTGACCCCATGGATTTATTCCCAATGTCGTCGTATCCCACCTCTAAATGAGGTTTTTTTTAACCATATGAAATTCCCCACCAGGAAATCACAAATTACAATTCATGGATTTTTCCTCATTACGGGCATCCCAACTGGCCCATGCTCCCCACCACAAATTGTTAATTTTTACCCCACCTAGTTAAGCGCAGTCTTTTATAGAAGACTCACTCAGGCTTTCGGACAGAGCTCACAAAACGACCTGACAAAAATATTATATTTTTACACGCACCAAAATAGTATATATTAAAACACATACTTTACTTCCTAAAGGGCCCACAACTTTTTTTTGTATGGTCCAAACCTTCACAGTCTTCATTTGCAAATTGTCTGTTAAATGTCTGTTCAATTTCTTCATTTTGTTTTGTCTACATGTCATGCGTTACTTTGCTAAGCCAACCGTAGCCAGCTCAACAAAGCTAACATCAACTGGGCTGAGTGCACCCGACAGTGAAGAGCCAGCTGGAAGAAAAAACAGCTCGTCATACAGTCTGTATCTACGCTTCAAAAGGAAAAGCAAAATAATTTTGCTCACCGGTCTATTATGGCGCCATGGACCGAGTACGAGCCCCTTTGTCCACCAGCAGCTCCCCGGCTGAAGAGAGAACCAGGCCCTACCTGACCACCCAGGGGAGGCTCCTGATCTCAGCCAAACGTCTGTAAACACGCCATGAACACGCGGTGCCGGATGTACACCTGTGGGTCACTGAGGGCTGCAGAGCTGGCTGTCTGAGAGCTCTGCAGGATCAGAACGGCTGCTGTTCTGTCGGGTCAGGCGGCTGCTACACAGCCACTTGTGTTTTTTTTTAAAAATTTTTACAAATCTTTTAGGAACTTATTAGTATTTTTATTTATAGGTTGCATGATGTCATGTCAGTTTTGGTTATGAATAGATCCATCAGTAAATTTAGATGATTATCAGAATTACCACAATTTTTCATTATGATGTTTCAAATTAAGGCATTTTTCTCTAAATGCTTAATACATTTGTTAAGCCTTGCATTTTGTAAATACTTCATCATGTTAAGATTTGAATGTGTATTCAATGTTTCATTTATGWACTTGGCTTGTTACCAGTTATAATTTAGAGAATAAATGTTTCAACATAATATAATCCCTTTTTATTTAAATTCTGTTGAATTGGTATGGTATATATTTGTTTAAACTTTAAATTTGGAATCCTGTAAGAGTGAAAGCAAAGTTAATTCTCATCATCATTCAGATCAGTCAGTAAACCATGGTATACTGTGTTCTCAGAGGTCCAACTTTCTGCACCGGGTTTATAATTACATTCAACATTTAGGTTTGTGCATCTTTTAGGTCGACTTATGGTGAAGTAGGGCCCCCAAATGTCTAGGGTCGGCCCTGCGGAAAAGTCCCTATTGGCTGTCTTAAAAGTTGTTAGAAGTGACTAAATTACATTAACAATTAATTTGCATTTTTCTATGTTTGCCAATAATTGTGATCTGAGCTACCGTTTAGTTTAGTTTATTTATTCCTTTAAAAACAACAATTCATACATTCACATATTTCTCCAGCATATTAACCTTTATTCTCTAAAATATGCATATTGATCTGGTATTTTTAATGTCGTCTTCCAGGTTATTCCATAATTTAAGTCCCTGGACTGAAGTACTCTGTTCCTTTAAACTGGTTTTAACTTTAGGTCTCATAAAACTTTCTATCCCCTTAAGATTGTAACAACTCTCTTTTAATAAAGTATGATTGGATGTTTGAAGGTAATGTGTTGTTATGAGCCCTATACATAACTGAGAAAAATCCCATAATAAACTAAATCATTTGAATTTTAATGTCTTTAACTGATGGAACAATTTATTAGATGGGTGATAATAATGTTTCCTGTTGATAATTTTTACGGCTCATTTCTGTAAAGCAAAAATAAGATTTGTAATAGTTTTACATACTGACTCCAGTCAGGTACATTCAGTGCTCAGCAGCACAGGCCTCAGTCAGACCTTGGGCTGATATCAGGAAAACCCAAACACAGCAGCACAGCTCTGCTCAGAAGCAGAGACTCTAACACCCTGACAACTTTCTTCTTATTTTTTTAATGAATAGATCAGGGGTGCCCAAACATTTTCCCCGAGGGGGCCAAAATGAAAATCTATCCATGGCTGCGGGCCAAATGCAGTTATATAATACACGAAATACAAATACTTTTTTAAGTAAAGTCGTTTATTTTTAACGATTAAGCTGTGCAATGGTCCTCTTGTTTTAGTCTGTGCACTTGGAGAAAGTCTGCCATACACTCAAGTAGCAAAGGCTCATGGGACATTTCATAAATTGATAAAATATGAGTTTTTGTGGCCTTATAAAGTGTGCAAATCTACATGCGGGGTTAAATCTGATCTAAATATTTCTTGTTGTCATTTCATGTTTCATGTTTAATCCTAATAAATCAAAGATATGTCAGCACCATGACTGAAAACTACCTTCACTACAGCCCTTTTATAGTCATTTGACCAATGGAAATACTGTGTTTCTACCTATAGCATAACAGGTTACAACCTTGTAACTTTGGCAACTGTTGGTGGGCCAAATTAAATGGCTTGGCGGGCCAAATTTGGCCCGCGGGCCCCACTTTGGGCTCCTCTGGAATAGCGCTCATAATGTAGTACAAGAGTTGTTTTCCCTATGTATTTGGTCTGCTTTTTTGGTTGTATTATTATCTGTGTTCCGTCAGTAATACTTTGTTTTTAGTTACAATGTGTGAAGCACTTTGGCCAATGGCAGTTGTTTTCTTTAATGTGCTATATTAATAAAGTCGACTTGACTGTACTACCCATGGTTTGTAGTGCAATTAAACTTAATGTAATGAAATTAATTTTATAACTGCGATGTTTAGATTCATATTACCTATATTACTTTTGTGAGAGCCTTAAATTTAATACACAGATGTCAGTAAACACACACAAAAGGTGAAGTGTGTGTGTGTGGGGGGGGTTACCTCAGCACACAGCTCCTGAAGGAAAAAAGGGAGAAAAAATGCCTAGACTGCTTCTAAAATTCTCCAAAACCACCATCTCTAGTTATCAGAGCTTCCTAGTTGTTTTTTGGGTAAGAAAAATATCACTACCGGGGTCTGAAAACATTGCTCATTTGGCAACACTGTCATTGTTATGTCTACGTAGCTACCGCGTGGTCACTTTGTAAACTTCGACGCGCTCTCCGCATCAAAGCACCAATTAAAAACTGCTTCATATCAGATTTACAGGTGGAGGTCAACATGAGCAGTACCAGAGACAAACAGAGACGGAGACGAGATATACAAAAAGGTAAATGATTTTATTTTTGCAGGTGCGGGAGGGGTCTGGGGTCTGGACGTGGAACAGAATGATTGCAGAGGTGAGTATTTGATAATTTCCCAGTAATGGTCTTAAGCAGGTAAGTAAAACAGGTGAGTTCTTACGGGCTGGGGAAGGAGATGAGGCGTGGAGGAGTTGGTCCAAGAAGCTGAGGACCCAGAGGTGAGTATTTACAGGTGAGTAGGTATTTACAGTGAAACGTGGGAGGCAGCGCATGAGATACTGGTGAGAGGCTCTGAGTCCAGGGCAGCAGGCAAAAACGTGCTGGAGACTGTTTTCTGCAAACAGGTAAATACAAAAACACAGGTAATACAAAAACTCTTGGAGAGAGTAACAAGCAGCAGGATGAGCTCAAACCAAACATGAGGCGATGCTTCAGCGATGAGTTGATCTTCAGCACTGCCTTAAGAAGCCTGGAGGTGATGAGCCAAATCGCTTGCAGGTGTGGGTGATCAGCGTTGCAGCCAATCATGGAGGCAGGGGGTGGAAACACCAAAATGCCTCACTCAGAACCGCAGTCCCACCAAAACATAACAGATAAGGAAAAAATGAGTTTTGCTTACCTGTGTTCACACAGACCCCAGACCTCGAATCACCGACTGACTTCCCAGCCAGACGCTCTTCTCCCAGGCTGGCACACAGATCATCTCTACAGTAAAAGCACATCGTCTGGGTCACCAGCTGTTAAAATATAAGCAATGTTCGTTACCCTTTACCTGTTCAGATCTAACACCAGTTAATAATGACATGTGAATGTTGGAGTGAGCCATACAAAACCATTCAGACACAGCTGTGTGGACTGATTAGCTTTTGTTTTAATGTCTCTGACAGGCATCAGCTAAGCAGTGCCTAAAAAACCAGGAAACACATCAACTAACAGCTTTTTTCACATCCTGACTCCACCTCATGACATATTTTAAAGGGGCAGGTTACTCCTATATGGAGTCAAGATGTCAGACATCATCCCTCACACTAATGTTTGATCACTGTTCTTTTGTGTTGTTTTTAAATCAGACATGTATCTGACCAAAAGCCTCCTGAGTCTGTGAGACCCTGATCAAGAGCCCCACAACCCAGTCTGAACATAAAATCATCAATTAAGTCAGAGATAACCACATTATAGAAATATATTACTGTTCACCTAATAAAAGACTATACAATGTGTAGTGTCTGTATTAATCAATAGTAAACAACCCCAATAAATTTCTTCAGTAAGCTAAACAAAAGCTTCAATGTACTGGCCATAGAGATGACGCTACGCCAACTAGCAATGCTAGGCCAGCGCTGGCCTCAGTTACCTCAATGGCTAAGTATAGCAAATCGGAAAATTAAATTTTCCCCTCTCCTTCCCCAGAAACCCCTTAACTCGAAGCTGCCACTCACCGCAGTCCGACTTAACTTTCAAGGAAAAGCAAAATAACTTTGCTTACCTCTTTTCCTTGTGCCTTTCAGACCTGTGTTGAATTAGCCACTGCCAGCCAAGTGGAGTCCCGCTTCTGGAGCAATGCAGGCCCCAATCCTTACCCGACTGGTTTTAAACTATCATAAATAAGGCACATTGGGGTTGTGCATGTTTTTCTATGGTATTGCATCATCTTTTGCAATGTATGCATTGATTGTATAGTGGTCATTTGGATCTAGCTACAATTGAGCTTTTTGCCATATTTTCCAATTTACTCGTCTGTTGGTAAATGCCGGAGGCACAGATTATGCATGCACACAGTCCAGTCCAACTACTTTAGGGATACCACTGAGGTTCTGTGTACACCTCGCTGTGCATTGTAGTCTTTTGGATTTGCACCAAGACAGACTGATGTGCAATAGAGTAACGGTCCTTTGCAGATTAAAAAATGCCTTTGAGGAAATGAAACTACACCAAAGTTCTGCATCATAACCCCCCCCCCCCCCCCCCCCC